CAACATCATCCTTACACTAGGATCTCTGCAACTTCTCCTTCCTTAGAAGAACATCAACTGTGGTGATAGACCAGTCCTGGGATGGTCCTCCTGCCAGTCACACATTCCTTCCTCTGAAATCGAAAGAACTATGCGGGACAATCTGCTCCAAAGCAGATGACAGATAATCAGAGTTGGAAGGGACCTTGTAGGTGATCTAGTCCAACCCCCCCGTCCAAGCAAGAAACCCTACACCATTTCTGACAGATGGCAGTCCAATCTCTTCTTGAAAATCTCAAGTGATGAAGCTCCCACAACTTCTGAGGGCAACTTCTCTTCCATGGGTTGGTTGTTCTCACTGCCAGAAAGTTTCTCCTTATTTCCAGGTTGAATCTCTCCTTGTTCAGTTTCCATCCATTGTTCCTTGTCTGGCCTTCGGGTGCTTTAGAAAATAGCTTGACCCCTTCCTCTCTGTGGCAGCCCCTCAAATATTGAAACTCTGCTCTCCTGTCTCCCCTGGTCCTTCTCTTCATTAGACTAGCCAGGCCCAGTTCCTGTAACCGTTCTTCGTATGTTTTAGCCTCCAGTCCCCTAATCATCCTGGTTGCTCTTCTCTGTACTTTGTCTAGAAACTCAACATCTTTTTTATAATGTGGTGACCAAAACTGGATGCAGTACTCTAGGTGTGGTCTTACTAAGGCTTTATAGGGTGGTATTAGTACCTCCCTTGATCTTGATTGTATCCCTCTGTTAATGCAACATAGGACTGCATTAGCTTTTTTGGCGGCGGCTGCACACGGCTGGCTCCTATTTGGCTGGTTGTCCACTAAGACTCCAAGATCCCTCTCACAGTTACTGCTATTGAGCCTGGTTTCACCCAGTCTATATGTGCACTTTTGGTTTTTCTTGCCTAAGTGTAGAAGTGTAAGCCATGGAGAAAGGGAAGCCACAAAGGAAAAGGGGGGGGGTCGTTCTCCAAAGCACCTGACGGCAGAACAAGAAGCCATGGATTGAAGCCAACCAAGGAGGGGACCAATGTAGAACTAAGGAGGCATCTCCTGGCACTGAGGAATTAATTAATCAGTGAAACTGCTTGTCTTCAGAAGTTGTGGGTGATCTACCACTGGAGGTTTTAAAGAAGAAATTGGAGCACTGCTTGACTGAATTGGTATAAAGCCATGATGGTGAACCTATGGCACATGCGCCAGAGGTGGCACGCAGAGCCCTCTTTGTGGGCTGCGTGCCGTTGCCAGATGCTCTTTGTGGGCACCAGAGAACCCGAAAACGGCCAAAAAGATGGCCAAAAAAAAGACCGTTTTTCGGGCTGTTTTCAGGCCATTTTCAGGCTGGTTTTTGAGCCATTTTCCAGGCCGTTTTCCAGCCATTTTCAGGCTGTTTTTAGACCATTTTTCAAGCCATTTTCTGGGCTGTTTTTAGACCATTTTTCAAGCCATTTTCTGGGCTGTTTTAAGGCCATTTTTCGGGCCATTTCCAAACTGTTTTTCGGCCTGAAAACGGCCCCCCAAACAGCCAAAAAAAACAGGCAAGTGTGCACCAGCCAGCTGGTCTTTGGGTTTCTGGTGCTCCAGCACATGCATATACACGAGCACGAATGCAGACATGTTCCAGTTTGGGTCCTTGGTGACAAAAAGATTTGCCATCACAGGTATAGGATCTCTTGCTTGAGCAGGCGGGGTGGACTAGAAAACCTCCAGGGTCTTTTTCCAACTCTGTTATTCTGTTATTCAGCTCCGGATTCTACAAAATTCAGTAACCCCGCCTTGTGGAAGATGTAGTTTACAAAGAATTGGGCCATGTCCAGTGTGCTGTCCTGACAGTTTTAGAGTTAATGGGATTTGGGATAGTTAGTTAGGAATTGAGAGCTGTCCCCTTAAGGGAAAACACAGCCTCATGGTAGCATCTCTACCCCTTGCTTCTACGATATGGGATGAAAGAGATGACCATCTTTTTACCATTCTGTCTTGTACAAAGCAGATAGATAAACTCCACAAAGCATCCATACAAAGTCTTTTTATTGGTTCATCGGGCATCCTCATTAACTCACAGTTATGATGAGATTCTTCTTAATATCCAATCCTTTGCATACCTGTCTTTATAGGTAAAAAGATGGTTATCTCTTTCGTCCCATATCGTAGAAGCAGGGGGTAGAGATGTTACCATGAGGCTGTGTGTTCAGGCAAGAGTGAAGAAACCTCCCCCAACCCACCAAGGGTCAATTCAGTGACCAATCAGGGTTACAGATGTGGCCACATGACATGAACAACATTTCCCAGGATACCTTAACTACATTTACCATGATGCATTCCCTTAAGGGGACAGCTCTCAATTCCTAAGTAACTATCCCAAATCCCATTAACTCTAAACAGTCTGGACAGCACAGCCAGAATAAAACTAGGAAGGACTCCGATGTCTTTCTAAGACAGTCTTCCCAAACTTTTTTTCTTACATTACACAAAACCTCTTTTGAGAAATTTATTTTTACTGTTGATCAGAGAGTCCTTAGTTAAAGGTCCCTGTTATGAGTGGGTAATAGGTTTGTATGGCATTACTCAAAGAAAAACCACTTCTGACCAAGTTTGAGTAATTTAGCCAAGTTTGGGAAGCACTGTGCTAGGAGAAGTTGAGATGGCATCTACAGTCCAGTCCAGGGTGTCCTCAGGATGTGGTTTCAAAAGTCAAGAAGGCAGCTGCTTGTGTTTATGTCCAGGTGGTCAGAAAAAAACAAGATGGCAGCTGCAAGGACATAAATCAAGAACAGCAAGGTTGCCATCTTGAATTTTACAACCACACCCTGCAGCCAACACTGTTTTTCAAATCTTTTTATCCAACTCAGATGCATGAATATTGGTGCTGATGGGACTTTTTTCCTACGAAAACATATCCAGTAGGTCTCAAACTGATTTAATCATCCTTCCTTCTACCCCCTCCCAGAAATCTTTGCTAAAAACTGGTGTGTTGACAACCTTAGGACTTTTATCTCCATATCCTCAACTCATTTTACCAGACTACAATTCCCAGAAACCTTTGAAAGAAGCTGTGACAATTACATCAGTATAAAATGGATAGGATTCTTACGGGGCTGATCAGCTTTCCTTATAGCAGGGGTCTCCAACCTTGGAAACTTCAAGCCTGATGGACTTCAACTCCCAGAATTCCTCAGCCAACATGGCTGGCTGAAGAATTCTGGGAGTGGAAGTTCACAACTCTTAAAGTTGCCAAGGTTGGAGACCTCTGCTCTATAGAGTTTCCATTGCTAAACAAGGAAGTGAAGTGGAGGAACCTAACTTCCTCCAAATTCCCAACCTGCAAGGTCAAAGCCCTTGTTATCTCAAGATTCAAAGGAGGCCCTATCCCAGAAAACCCTGATGCAGTTAAGACCTTGCAATGATGACCCAACAAAAGAGACATCACTGTGAACTTGTGCCAAACTGCTTGGTGACTGCTTGCACCATCCAAATCTACTTAACGTAGGCTTGGAGAAGAGGTGAGAGGCCAGAAGAGGCTGTATGGAAAAGAGAGACACTCGTGTTTGTCGACCTCAGCCATGTTAAGATGCGTGGACTTCAACTCCCAGAATGCTTCAGCCAGCCAAGCCAAGCTGATGGAGGCATTCTGGGAGTTGATGTCCACGCATCTTAACTTGGCTGAGATCGAGAAATATCTACCTTAGAGCAAAGGGGAGCAGAATAAAGATCATACCGTGTTTCTCCAAAAATAAGACCTGGCCTTCTATTCTGGGGGCTCCAAAATAAGCACCAGGGCTTATTTTTTTTTTTTGGGGGGGGGTGTCTTTTTCCCCCCACGTACAGAAGGTGGAAAGTGTGGGGGCCGATGGGAGCACTGCTACTGCTGGGCTGGTTTTCTCCACTGCTCCCCACGTGCTCACCATCTCCTGTGCTGGCCATATCTCCCGCCCTCCGGGTCTGATGACAATCTTTACTAGGGCTTATTTTTTGGGTAGGGCTTATATTGGGCACAGGCTGAAAAATCAGGCTAGGGCTTGTTTCCAGGATAGGTCTTATTTTTGGGGGGGAAACACGGTAGTATTCCCAAGCCAGGTGAGCCACATTGGGAGAGCAGAGCAGGGGACAGGGCACCCAAAGGAAATCCATCCGTGTCAAGGCACCAAATCCCAGAAAGACAGAACATGGAAAGACACGTACAAAACTATAGAAAAGATCTGGAACAAGGTCGTGTGGACTCTTTACTTCCTTTCCAAAGAGATGGGGGAGGGGGGGGAATGGAGCACATTAGCACACACCGGGACACCCCCCACCTCCCCTATCCTCTCCTCCCACCGCTTTCTTCCAATGGGTCCACAGTATAAAATCTGAGACAATAAAGCCAAGGATTTGCCCCTCGAGCCGGGGGTGGATATTTTTTTGTTTTGTTTTTTGTTTTCCTCTTAAAAAAAAAAAAGCATTACAAATCGCACACCCTTGTTTGCATTTCACGTCCCGTTTCTGCTCTTTGCCACAAACCACAGGAGCTGGAATGGGAAAGGGGGAACACACAGGCAAACTCGAAAGTCAGTCGAGTTTCGTAGTCTGACGAAGAGAAATGATTTTCGGCTTGAAAGAGCGTTAGCCATACCACCACCTGGACAGCGAACGGGGGTGCACTTCTGGATTCCCAGGGCATCACGACTGGGTTTCGCCCGATGTTCCCCGAGTAACCCCCTCCCCTGAGTTGTGATAACCCCCACCAGCATCGCCCTTCTTCTGATAGTTTGCTCGGTGTCCTCACCCTGCCCCCCCCCCAAGACATTCCCATGCAAAGGAAACAAAACAGGCCACGAGAGAGAAAGAGAGATAAAATGCAGCAGGCAAAACCCACAAAGCCATTAAGCAGGCTCCTGAGGCTTAAAATGGCGGCGTTGGATGGCACGGTAGAGCTCAGGAAGGCCTGGGAGGGGAGCTTTCAAACCCGCCATGCCTACCCATGCTGCCTCCCTTCATCCCAAAAAAGGGGGAGGATGGAACCATCCCGCTGAAACAAAAGGTGCCACGGAGCGGGGCAAAATGGCAGGTGAAGCATGCCACGGAACAGAAGGAGATTCACGGCTCTTCAGCGTCCGGCTCTTCTTCGACCTCGTCGTCTTCGTTGTCGTCGAGCGACACTACGCCGGAGGAGGCCACATCGGAGACTTTTCTCCGGACCTGGCAGCTGTCCCCATGGACTTTGTAGTCCTTGGACGGAAGGCCCTCTGGCTCCTCCTCCGCGGGCGAGAGGCAGGACTCGGTGAAGGACATGGAGTACATAGAGTCCTGGCACTCGAGTTGCGCCAGGCTCCGGAAGGCACATTCTCCGGCAGTCTGTGTGGGCAACTTGGAAATCAGCATGTCCTCCCCGCCGGAGACGGAGCCCAGCAGTTTGGCGGCAAGTTCAGAAGGGGTGCCCAACTCCTTGAGAAGGAAGCTGTCGTCAAGGCTGCAGAGACTGGAGCACAAGGTCTCCGGGGAGATGGTGGACTGAGAGGAATCACTTTCTGGGTCGCAAGAACCTTGTCGGGAGTTCAGGTGGCCCAGGCGGCTGTGCAGGAAGCCTTTCAAGAGGGCGTTGGGGGGCAGCTGGCCCACTGTGTCTGCAACACAACAACCAAGAGGGAAGAGTTTAGCAAGGCGGCATTTCAGTTCAGTGCAAAGAAGGACCAGGGGTGACACGATAGCAGTGTTCCGATATCTCAGGGGTTGTCACAAAGTGGTGATATGTCAAGCTATTCTCCAAAACACCTGGAGGCAAGATAAGAAGTAATGGGTGGAAACTCATCAAGGACCATTATAAAAGGACCATAAATCCCATTAGAGCAGGGAGGCAGGGAATGTTGTGGGTCCCACCCCTGAGGGAGATACACCTGGTGGGACCCAGAAAAAGGGCCTTCTCTGTGGTGGCTCCCTCTCTCTGGAAGATCATTCCCCCAGAGGTTAGAATGGCCCCCACTCTAGCACTCTTCCGAAAGGCACTGAAGACCTGGTTTTGCCAGCGGTCCTGGGGAACCCAGAGCGGGATGGAGCCCATCAAATGGCTAGTGTGATCTGCTGTCATCGGGGCAGGGGGGTTGGAGTTGTTGTTGTTTTTTTCCTCCCAAATTTTGTTCTGTTGTACTTTACTAATTGATTTGATTCTTTTGGTTAGTTTTTATTGTTTTTTATTATTTTTTATTTTTTGTTTTAAATACGGTTTTACGTTGTGTAAGCTGCCTCGAGTCCCCATGGGCGAAGAGGCGGCAATACAAATTAAATAAATAAATTTAGAACTAAGGAGAAATTTCCTGACAGAATAATTAACCAGTGGAACAACTTGCTTCAGAAGTTGTGAATGCTCCAACACTGAAAATTTTTAAGAAGAGATTAGACAACTATTTGTTTGGGGGGAAAACACAAAAACGGGTTTCTTGCTTGAGCAGGGGCTGGACTAGAACTGTGATGGCAAACCTATGGCACGCATGCCAGAAGTGGTATGCAGAACCATCTCTCCAGGCATGCCAGCCATCGCCTGTTGTGGCCAGCTGCTTTTCACACACGCGGGAGTGCCAGAAATCAAAAGAGCAGTTCCCTGGTGCAGATGCACACGCGTGCACACCGGTCAGCTGGTCTTCTCACACAAGCAAAGTACCAGCAAAGGAGGGAAAAAAAACTCCAGAGAAGTTCCTGAGACAGGGAGTCTAGTCCTGCCAAGAATGTCATAAGGGTTAACGGAGAGGCAGTTTCTGTAAGCAACACCAGAATGTTTCCTTCCTGCCTTCCTTACAGGATTAGGCCAGTAATTTCTTCTAATAACCGGTTCTCTGAACTGGTTAGAATGTTAACAACCGGTTCTAGCGAATAGGTGCGAACTGGTAGAATCCCACCCCTGGGTGTACATAAGCGCACTAACGTGCCTACTGTCCCTGTCCTATTGATTCTTTTTATTTTTCTAATATGTATCCCTTTCATGTATTCATAACTATATTTATACTTATACCTGTTATCTTATAATTGCTTGACCAATAAAGGTCAGGCTTGCAGCCCTAAGCTAATCTGGCAATCTCCTGGACTTAAGGGAGCACTCCTGAACTAATAGGATACACAGTCTAACATGCAACTGGCCCTTTGAAGGCAACCGTAATGCTGATGTGACTCTCAATGAAATGAGGTGTGACACCTAAGACCTAATATTGCACTGAGAGCTAGATTTTGGAATAAAGTCAGTGGATCAGTTAGTTCTTTGTTTTCTACCTGGTTGGGCGTTCAGCCTCCTGTTGGCTTTCAACCAAGCAGAGATGCCATCCATCTTCACTTACCAGCTACCTGGACAGTTTCACTGGAAGCGGGAAAATCCTCATCGTAAGACTCATCATTGGAGTCGTCCCCCTCCACCGATGACCAGGCTCTGAGTTTGGCCTCGGCGATGGCAAACTGTTCGGCTACACCTGGGGAGAAAGGAGTGCTGTTATTTAGAGGTGGTGCAACACAAGGTGTAGGAAATCACTGCTGAAGAGGTGCCGACCCTGAGGGCCATCGTGAAAGTCAAAAATCTAAGCTTTGTACTTTACCAAACTGGAGTGGCAAGCTGGGGACAGATTAATCTAGTAGATTTCAGACCTTCAGCTGATTGATAAAGGTTGGAAAGTCACCTGGGAGAAAATGTTCCATGATATAGAACATAGACAGAACTGTTCTGACCCAAACCCTTGTCCAATAAAACCAACACGAACCAAAAGGAACAGAAACCTTTTAATGATCCTTACGAATCCCCGGTTAAAAGGCTGCTGCAAACTAACTAACTTTGATAAGCACGAGCCTCACCAAAACTGTGCGAGGCTGCCAAAAATGACAGGTAAGGTGACCTAGAAATATTTTACAACACAAGAGCCTTCAAATACCAACTAAGATACTGCAATGTCCACGAGGCTGGAGTTTCAAAACGTCTTTGCTTCCTGCAAAGAACGTCCGATTCACAGCTGGCTTTTATCTTCTTGAAGGAGGGGCCATTACCTTGCAGCCTTACTCTCGAGTC